AGCATTTGCTTCCTGGAATCTACCTGCCCTTAGCTCAGGCCTGCAGACAGGAGGGTGTGTTTAGCTGAGAAAACCCCTCCTCTCCTGAAGACTCCTGTGATGTATGAAACCATTATAAAGTATAGTATAAATTTAACCCCTTCACGCCTAAGGGTAAAACAAATCTAAATGCCTAAGCACAAATTCGCTATGTTGACATGTGTTGGTAATATCATCACAACTACTTTGAACATCCAGGTGAATTATACCGCGTTTTTTCAGGACAAATCAGGCTTTCATTTGGTGGTAAATGGTAATGGATATCTGCTGTTTTTTTTTAATTATTAATATTATCAAAGAAAATTTGGCCCAAAATAGTAAAAAAAAAATAATAATTTTTTAAAATTTAGCTGTGTGTTTCTTGTTCCTACCATAACTTACCATCAAAGAACAACACAAAATAAATTTTCCAGCTCTTGACGATCGCAGCGATACCATAAATGTGTATATTATTTGTTGTTTGTACCCGTAGTACAGCCCAGAAACAATTGTGCGCACTTTGTTTTGTTTTTTTTTCACCTAAAACACAATGACATTAATTTTTTTTTTATCCTGACCTTTGACCCTGACCTTGACCCAAACACTTACCCTGGCACTGAACTAGATCAAACCTTAATCTAGGTGTTTTTTTTATTTTATTTTTTAATGTTTATCTTTTTTTTTTTTTTTTTTTACAAACATTTTTTCTCCCTTCTACGCTAGGAGATAGAGCGATACAATGTTTCTCTCTCCTTCATTCATAGAGAGAGAAAAAAAACACAAGGAGCCAGGCTGTACAGTGACTGATCATGTGATAGCCAATCAGAGGCTATCACAGTGATCATGTGACTCACAATTGGGAGTCCCAAGTCCCGATCGTTAGAACGGGACCCAGGGCTCTCCGTGTCACTGCAGTCTTTGTGCTGGGAGTACGCTGTGTGGTGCACTCCCAGCAGAAAGACAGGTATTATTATGCGGCCTCACCGAAAAAAGCCCAGTTCTGTGAAGCCGCATATTATTATTATTATTATAATACAGGATTTATATAGCGCCAACTGTTTGCTCAGCATTTTACAATATAATGGGAGACAATACAGTAGCAATACAGTTCAATACAAGCCGGATTTGAGGGCCCTGCTCCTTGGAGCTTACAATCTAGGAGGGAGTGGCTAGTGGTACAAAAGGTAGTAACTGTGGAGGATGGACTGGTTGGAAGAGTAGAAGATTCCAGTATTAGTTGAAGGCAGGATAGGCTTCCATGAAGAGAGAGGTTTTCAGAGATCTCCTAAAGGTGAGCAAAGTAGGCGATAGTCTGATAAGAGATCAGTTTTGGAAAGATTTAGTTTGAGGAAGTGGAGTGACATCCATGCTGATATGTCACTTAGTAGGTTAGTAATGTGAGAGGAGACTGAAGGGGTGAGGTGAGGGGTAGAAAGATAGATTTGTGTGTCATCAGCATAGAGATGGTATTTAAAGCCATGGGAGTTTATCAAGTGACCAAGGGAGGAGGTGTAGATGGAGAAGAGCATATTTGTGTTACGTCGGTGTCAAGGGGTTAGTGTAGATTTTGGATTAAAAATTTAGTGAAAAATGATAGTTGGATTATGAAATGGTACATTTATATAGGTCTGTACATTATGTGAAAGATCTAACAGGGTTAGAGAGATTTGGTAGTTAGGAACTATGCGTTGAAAGAAGACACAAGGTCAGCCTACAAAGCTTGCATAACCAGAATCCTCAGGGGGAGGTAGTTAGCAATGCTTATGGTTATTTACAGAAAGCAGAATGTTTAGGTCCCTGCAATATATTCCCACAGCTGTGTGTCGCTTTGGCACATTTGTGTATTTAGTGGCCTTGTAGCAAGTGACAGGGAAACACTGTAGCGGATAGGTTTCCAGGATGTGTAAGTGCTACCAAGGAGTGGCAGCTCTTGTTTCCAACTAATGTAAAGACTGACATCATGGAAAAGAGACCGCTTTCAAACAACTTTTGTGTGTCTCTGTCACCTTTATCCTTTATGCTGCTAAAGAACCAACAAAATAGCAAATACTTTTCAAGGGTTATATCAGGTAACTATTTGCTTTGTAAGTTTTCCTAGTAGTGGAAAATATACATTCAGAAAACTCTGGGACTGGCCTGACAGGCAGAATCTTTGCATTGATTTTATTAGATGGTTGGGTTATTACTTGAGATAAGCAAACTGACCTACTGTGTTGGATATATTAAAGTTGACCTCCCACTCCTTGTGATTTTGTTGGGAAAAAGGGTTGATATATTCCATTCTAATTCCCTGTTTTAGATGCTGGGTCTCCTGTCCATTCATAAATACTAGAAAATGCTCTAGTATTGGAAAGTGGGATTTTGAAAGCTTTGACCTGCTTTAGGAAGCTTTTTGCTTTCTCATAGACTTTCATAGGAAAGCAAACTACATTTGAAGCAAAGCCCATTGACACAGTCCCTACAGCAACCTTTCTCAACCTTTTCAACACAGAGGAACATTTGAAATGATTTTCTAAGCTTGGGGAACCCCTGCTAAAAATGACTATATCTACAACTCATGATACATTAGTGTGATGGTCAGTGGGAAGAATGCTCCTTACACTTGTAGTCCATGGAAAGAATTGCCCCCTTACAGAAAGCTACAAAGATCAATGGTGTCAGTGGGAACTTAACTGAGAAGCAGAAATTGCTCATTGCTTAAAGAACCCGTAGCAACTTCTGGAGGAACCCTGGTTGATAAACATGGCCCCAGACCTAGGAAACTTCTTATTTCACATTCTGTTAGAAGTGATCAGTTATTTGAACCTCCAGCCAAAATGTTGTTGTAAACAAAGTGGATAAGGGTGCAAACTACTTCTGTCAGGTTTTTATTGCTGTTTGTGACCCTTTTTAGCAAAATCCCCCTCACTTCCTCTCCTAGTGATACAAGTACAAGCAATGAGGGATCTGGGTGTCACAGGGACAGAAAGACACTAACAGCAAAAAAAAAAGTCATGGCATCTGTGTTGACTGTCATCAGAAGGAGAAATCCCCCCCCCCCCCCCCCCCCAAATCATGTACAGCAATTCAAATTTGACTCTTAATCAAAAATGTTTTGCAAACTTTAATAAATGATAATGAGCATATAATTATTATACAGTATTTATAAAGCGCCAATAGTTCGCTCAGCGCTGTACATTAATCATCCTTATTCCAATGACTTCTTGCTTTCAGTATCTTTTCGAAAGGAGTTTGTGATCTCCTAATATAGGCATAGTATTTTCTAGGGGTGAACTTGCTTCCCGTTATTCTTTTATTCTTCTGGTCTTCAGGGCTCAAGTTTTGGTATACCATTATCTACAAATGTGTATTATTGATATTATCAATGCTAATGTATTGGTAATATTTGTCTCCTATTAGTTCCTGTTGTGTTTTTGTTTCTTTTTTTCACTTTAGTGTATTTCTGTATTCTAAATATATTTAGGCAATTTAACTAATTCAGATAAATTACTTTTTTCAACTTCTCACCACAATGTCTTTAAAACGTTTTTCTCCAATAACTTCTTAATTACTACGTAAAAAGGAAAGGTACACCTTGCTAGTAATGGGTTGGACCCCCTTTTGCCTTCAGAACTACCGTCATTTTTTGTGGCATAGATTCAACAAGGTGTTGGAAACATTCCTCAGAGGTTTTGGTGTGCCAAGAAAATATCCCCCACACCATTACACCACCACCACCAGCCTGAATCTTTGATACAAGGCAGGATGGATCCATGCTTTCATGTTATTTACACCAAATTCTGACCCAACCATCTGAATGTCACAGCTGAAATCGAGACTCCTAAGACCTGGAAACTTTTTTCCAATCTTCTATTTTGGTGAGCCTGTGTGATTTGTAGCCTACGTTTCCTGTTCTTAGCTGACAGAAGTGGCACCAGGTGTGATCTTCTCCTGCTGTAGCCCATCTGCTTCAAGGTTCGATGTGTTATGCATTCAGAGATGGTATTCTGCATACCTTGATTGTAATGAGGTGGTTATTTGAGTTACTGTTGCTTTTCTATCATCTTGAACCAATCTGTCCATCCTCCTGTGACATCAACAAGGCATCTATGTCCACACACCTGCCGCTCACTGTATATTTTCTCTTTTTCGGACCGTTCTCTGTAACCCCTAGAGATGGTTGTGCGTGAAATTCCTAGTAGGTAAGCAGTTTTTTTAAATACTTAGACCAGCCCATCTGGCACCAACAACCATGCCACATTCAAAGTCTCTTACATATCCTTTCTTCCCCATTCTGATGCTCCGTTTGAACTTCAGCAAGTCATCTACACCACATCTAGATGCCTAAATGCATTGAGTTGCTGCAATGTGATTGGCTGATTAGCAATTTGTGTTACCAAGCAATTGAACAGATGTACCTAATAAAGAGGCTGGTGAGTATATATACCAAAATAGGCCTTTTGACATGCACTCCAGTGACCTATCTAATGCATTGTTGTATGAACAACAGCATTAATGTAAAAAAAAAAAATATATATATATATATATATATATATATATATATTATACTGTATGTGTATATAGAAGGTTTTTTTTTTTTTTTTTGTAAAATTCATGTTGTGTGTGAAGATATGTTGTCTGCTGCCCTTATTACTATTTCTTAACTTCAACTTTTTATTTTAATAATAATTTGATAATTAATAATCTATCATTTTTATTTTTAATGATAATTGATAATTTTATGATGATTGTTTTCTAGGTCTAGAACCCGCACATAATACTGAGACAAACTCTAGACAAGGATGCTGTTCTGCTGAATACTCTTCCACTCTCAGTGATGCGTCATATGAAGAAAGGCCTGCACCAAGATGCATGTTATGAACTGTGTCTCTTTGGTAAATGATAAAGAAAATGGCGACTGCAGTGTGGTCATCACAGACTTAATGCTAGATAACCCACTGCCACCTCCGCCACCGCCACCACCACCACCACCCCCTCCCCCACCGCCTTTGCCTCCGTCTGTACCACCACCTCCTCCCCCTCCTGGTGCTCCTCCGTTTCTGCATCATGGTAATCATGGACATGGTCACAACAAGAAGAAACGCATGCGGAGCTTCTTCTGGAAAACCATCCCTGAGGAGCAGGTTAGGGGGAAAACCAATATCTGGACTATGGCTGCTAGGCAGCATCAATACCAAATTGATGCAAAGACAATCGAGGAACTATTTGGTCAGCAGGAAGATTCAAAGTCTGGTGTTTTCCGGAGGACTGGGAGCACCAGGTCTTCTTTCCGAGAGCCAAAGGATGAGGTACTTTTTTCTATAACATTACTTTCTTTTTACGGTTAACTTGATCTTGAGTTGTATTGGTGGTTTTCTGTAGATGAGTTTGGAACGAACAAGAAAGATTAGGCCTTATTTATTAAATTGTCTGGTAGTAGAATTGTTTGTTCTGCTCTGGGAAATTTCAGATTTAGAATTAAAGTTTTGATATACAGAGGTTTTTTTTCAGAGATCTAATGCTTATTAGCATTAACTGCTTCTGTGCTATTTTGTGGCATTAGAAATTGTTGCCCTTGACAGTGACTCTTGTGAGTTAGGTGGTATGTGCATGGCAAAACATAAAGAAGAATGTAAATGTTTTAGGGCAGCCAATTGTATCTATCTTGGTGGTTTTATGAAATTTTACATGGAGTTGCCATATTAGGCATGTAATGCCAGGGTCAGACTGGCCTGCGGGAGGACTGGAAGACCCTCAAGTGGGTCCCTGCTGCCTTACAAAAAGTTCAGGCAATAGTTTACTTGGTCAGTTATCATAACATGCTGCATTATATGGTTTGATAAGTGTTGTCCCTGATGGTCTTTCTACCTTCTAAACAAATCAGAGGTGTACTTTTTAGTCTATTCACATTTGCATGGATGACAGAATGAGTTGCAGCTCAGAATGAACCTTGGAACGGGTGTATCTTAGTGGTGAGGTTATGGGTGTGTTCTGGTAAGTCAGGTTCAGTAAAGGTTTAAAGGAATCCTTTTGTGGTAAGAATAAGGGGTGGGTGAGGTTGCCGACTTGTCTCTGTAGGTGTAATCTCCAGGACTATCATTCTTATCTTTGCTTTCTTACACAGGGAGTCAGTGGTCTGGAAATATCATGTAGCTTAAAAAGTGTTTGCCCCTTCAAAGACAAGTCCGTAATTATTATTATTATACAGGATTTATATAGCACCATCAGTTTGCTCAGCACTTTACAATATAACGGGAGACAATACAGCAACAATACAGATCAATACAAGAGGGTTAGGAGAGCCCTGCTCCTTGGAGCTTACAATCTACTTATTACATTAAGTCCCCATGCCACACAGGTGCAACTTGTCAAGCTTTTGATAGTTTCAAATTGCATGGCAAGTTGCACCTTATTGTTCTCAATGGAAGTGGTCATATCGGTGTGATTCCAACTTAGTCACACCGATTTTGATAGTACTTCATGCTCTGCTTTTTGCAAGTTCAGGTGCGACTTGCGAAGTCGCACAGATGTCTTCCAAGTCGCACCTGAAGTCGGACTGACATCCGACTGTGAAATTGTGCGAATGAACGTGAAGTCGCTTGGTTTCAAAGTCTGGTTCGGTGTGACCGGGGACTAAATAGTTTTTAATATACAGTGGGGCAAAAAAGTATTTAGTCAGCCACCAATTATGCAAGTTCTCCCACTTAAAAAGATGAGAGAGGCCTGTAATTGACATCATAGGTAGACCTCAACTATGAGAGACAAAATGAGAAAAAAAATCCAGACATTTTCCACCATAATTTGCAAATAAATTCTTTCCAAATCAGCCAATGTGATTGTCTGGATTTTTTTTCTCATTTTGTCTCTCCTAGTTGGTCTACCTATGATGTCAATTACAGGCCTCTCTCATCTTTTTAAGTGGGAGAACTTGCACAATTGGTGGCTGACTAAATACTTTTTTGCCACACTGTAAGTTGTATGCATGTGTCATGATAAATTATTATCAGTGGACCATTTTATTATGTAAAATGTCTTTAAAAAATTGTCCGTTTATTACCTCCCTTGGCCTCTCCTGAACACTTGGAGCTTACAATCTAAGAAGTAATGGCAGCTCCTATATTTTTCTCCTGTCAGGGTTTTTGATTACTTAGCAGGTCTTTTAAACTAGTTTTACTTTACAATATTTTAGCAATTTACTGAAATGGGTTGATCATTTTTTTTTTTTTTTCACACAATTTTTGACATTTGTGGGATCTTTTAAATATTTTTTTTAGAGAAATAGCTGCTTGAGCTCCTGGATTCTGTGAGACTTATAAAGTACACCTGTCATTAGAGAAATATGGGGTCTTCATGCTGCTAGTTGCCTGGCCATGTTTGGCAGTTCTTCAGGCCTGATGCCAAAACATCTGCAGAACAGTCAGGCAGCTTGAATTTTTGGAAGGAGAAGTCAGCGATTGCAGCCCCCACATTCCTTGATAACAGGGTTCGTACAATCATGTACCAGAATGCAAATATTCTTTCTCATTTGTAGGACTTTGTAAAAAGAGGAACTATTACATAACTTTAATGAATGTCACTTTCTCTGTGACATGTTTTGTGTTCTTGATAATGGGCAGCAGTAAGGTTTTGTGTGTAAACAATAGATTCCTGTCCTTGAACCCACGTGAGAATATCTACAAGCACAAAGATGAGGTCACTGTATCCAAGTCACGTTTATTATCCATTTTTATAGCCGTAATAGAATAACGTGATTATGAATGGTGCTCTTCACTGTAAAACTCTTAGCTGATAAGAAAATACAAGTAGCCATGATATGCAACTACCCAAAGCAACCAATCAGATCTTTTTTTTTTTTTTTTGGTGTACAGCAGTCAGAACTGTGAAATTTATTTGCCTCCATGAGTTACTAAAAGGAAAGATATAAAAGGTTATTTAGTACATCTCTGGAATACATGCACATTAAATTTGCTGTAAGTAGAAAGAAATGCCAGAAATAGTGTTCTCCTGCCTTCCTCTTTGAAATGACAACACCGCTCAGAATTCCAAAACATGTGGTGTCAGCCTTGCCTGCTTCATTTTTTGATTGATTACAAAGAACATAGACCTTTGCCTTTTAGTTCAACTTTAAACTCTGATTTGACCACTTGATGTGCATGCACCACTATATTCCTTTCAATTAATTTGTGGAAATGAGCTTTGTGCTTCATCATTCACCCAGATCCCTTTAGACATTGATAGGCACCACGCATGCTTAGTACATGCAAGAGAAGTTTACAAAGAATTATTCTGTATTGGATTATTTATAAGCATTGCCTGTTTCATTTCTACTTTGGTTTTTGAAAAAAACAGTCCTTCAGAGTTTTTAAATAAAATTCCTGATCCGACGTTGAGCTTAAAGAGTTAGCAGGTCTTCTTGTTTTTTTTTTTTTTGTCTTGTTTTTTTATCATTGGCAATTTCTTGGTCAGGAGAAATTTCATCCCATCTGGTTCTAGCTGTCTGTTACCAGATCCCCATGGGTAAAAACTGATACTGTATAGTCGTCCTGTCTCTGATTAGTGTGATATGAAGCATGTTAAAGTCAGAAATCGCTTTCAAATATAGTGCAGCTTTCCTTTAAACATGGACAGTTGTTTAGATCGATGTCTGAAAAAAAACTAGCATCCTTTGGAAGGCTGTTAATCTAAGATGTATGGATTCTATTCTGTTTGAGTTTATGATGGTATTATACACTGGTCTCAAGCTAGTAGTCATACCCTAGTACAGCCTTTCTCAACCTTTTTAACACGGAGGAACCCTTGAAATAACTTTTTGGCTTCAGGGAACCCCTGGTAATAATTATTAGTGTAATGGTTAGAGGGAAGAATCACTACTTGCAGATCGTTAAAAAGATCATTGGTGCCAGTGGTAACTCACCTGAGAAGCAGAAATCATTCATTGCTTAAGGAACCCCTAGCAACCTCTCTCGGAGACCTAGGGTTCCACCCTGGTTGAGAAACTCTAGTAGAATGCCAATTTGTTTTAAAAATGCTTGTTTGATTTTCTGTTTGTTAATGGGGTCAGGTCAATGTTTTGTTTTTAGCTGTAGTGACGAAACTTGAAGGAGCAGGATGGAATTTTTTTTCTTGAAGAGATTTCTGAATATGGGTTTTGTTCAGAAAAGACCATTCATAACAAAAACTGAATGTTAATAGCAAACAAAATCTTGTACTTTCGAACAACATTCGTCAAGTCATTGAATGTACTGCATTTTCATATGAGGTTTCTTATGATTATTTGTTTGAAAATCTGCTAGTGTATGGCTTTTGGTGTGGTAGTTTTCAAGTGTTTTTACAGTAGATAGAGAAATCTCTCCTGTTGGCTATTGCATTCAGACAGCCAAACTACCTACGGCTGTCTGAATACCTGAATAGTGATTGCATCTGATTGGGTTCATTCACTGTTTGCCTGACAAATTTTCACTTGGCTGCATCACTTTTCTTGAATGTTTCTCTCAAAGTTATCAAGTCTAGTGGGCAGCACAGTGGTTAGCACTTCCACCTGGCAGTATAGGGTTGTTGATTCAAATCCCGACCATGGCACCACCTGCCTGGAGTTTGCATGTTCTCCCTGTGCCTGTGTGGGTTTTCTCTGGGTATTCCAGTTTCCTCCCACACTCTTTGGAGACATGCTGGTAGGTTAACTGGATCCTGTCTAAATTGGCCCTAGTATGTGTATGTATGAAATAAGTTAGGGACCTTAGATTTTGTGCCCCTTGAGGGATAGGGACTGATGTGCATGTACAATATATTTGTAAAGCGCTACATAAATTGATGGTGCTATATAAGTACCTGAAATAAATAATAATGTGGTCAGCAAGGCCATCCAACTAGGAATCTGTACATGGCAGGCTTAACACGGTTGTCACCAGAATAGAGTCTCCTCTGTAACATTTCCCTTCTCGTCTTAGCCTAGTAACTAAAATGTTGGATTTCCATCCCTTTCTGTCTCAATGACAATGGTTATCAGGACATTTAGGGTGAATCTCCACAGCAGGGACACAGCAATAAAAACCTGACAAAGGAAGTTATTCATCCTCCGTTGTATCAAAAAAGAAAAAAAAAAAAAGTTTGGCTATATATTCACTTTAGGAAGGTGGAGACCTTAACAGGCGTTTCACAGGGTGTAAGAACAGTTTATTCTAGCTGCTTGCATGTGGCGCTACAAGGTGACTCACGTGTTTGGTTTGCATTTCCCAGGGAAGCATGTAACATCAAACAGATGGTTCAAAGCCACAAGGGGATAGAACTACTTGTTTTATGTTGTTTGTAC